CATGAAATTCTGTACATGCGGATACAGCAATGGCTTCCCCCTGATGTATTCGAAAAGACGTATTTTATATGCGCTTAAATCTGATTTGCTCGAAAATTTTACCGCCTCATCGGCCACTAGATATCAAAAACGGCAGACGGTAATTTATAACAAGTCACCTCAGCCTTATCGGATGCAAACCACAGATAACTATTCCCTTCGCATTTGTGAGGGGTGACGATAAAAAGCACGGTCGATTGCTAGGAGTGGTTCATTTATAGTTTAATGAAAATAAGCTGAGAAGCTGATTGCAAACTGGCAAGTAAAAAGTAATTTATTGGGGAGCCGATACAACTTCCAGACTCACTGGGCAGCACAAGTACTTTCTGATGTACTTCAGGTCTAACGGTTTTCGTTAAACTATGAATACTGTGGTACTGTGGGTCATGTACTTTATGAATCTTAGGTATGTGACAAAAAATAGTTTGAATGTATATATGAAACTACAGCCCAGTAATATGTAACGGACAGAAAATTCATGGTCTTACATCTTTTCAAAACGGATATCGCTGGTTAATTGTTGGTTTGTGGTAGTTTTATATCTGTCGCACCGCAAATGCAAACGCGGCCTGTATGAATAGTGACCAACTTCGGACTTCGTGTGGGTTAAAGTTCTGCGGTATTTACTGATTGTTTTTCAGTTTGACAGTACTCTTTTTCTTATTCTTGTATTCATAAATCATTTCAATTTCTGCCAGCATGAAGTCAATTTCTACAAGTGCGGAGTGTATTCTAGAGCTTTTGGATTTCATTAAAAAGTTAACTCCTCTCTTTTCTCGATTTCCACGACACTGTTCAGCCATTTATTGGTTCTAAAAAATTAATCGATTTCGCGGGTGGTGTTCCAGTTTAAAGCACATACACGTTCTATGCAGCTTGCTGCATATACTGCAGCATTGGACTAGTCTTGCTTAGGGGCTTCATGTTGTGCATGCGTGACTCGTTGATCAGTTATCTCAACATATAGAGAAGCTAGTGAAACAAATGTTGACAATACAAATTTTCAAACTGACAGGTGTAACAGGATTTCGCAGTGATGAATTCATTCCTAGCAGTTAGTATCATGACAGTCATACTCTTTAATAATATCGTCAGTCCATTGACTAGAAAGTAGCCCCCAGCTGATGGTATTGTGTTTGAAACAAGTGTTTTTCTATATCTGAGTAGCAGAACATGCTTTATTGTTGTTTTCACTAACATGGGTAGTGGGGCTGGGTTACTTTTCAGTCTGTGTACAATATCCCCACTCACTTATTATATAATGGGTGTAAGCTTGCTTCCACAAGCGCTAACTACTTCATTTATGCAGGAAAGGGCGTTGGTAGTGGTGGGTCAGTGACTGGTAATACTTTGGTATATATACAAAAAACCTGTTTGTATTTTACCAAATAAGCATATCTCCTAGTGTAAAGTAACAGAGTGTATGTTGGGATTTTATTATTCTGCTCTGTACTACTTGGTGACTGTAAAACTTAGTCACCTAAGGCGATTGACTTGGGAAGGTTACAAGTATTTGGTCATTGACATTTTTGTAGCATCGCTTTTGTTTGATAAAACTACCGTCTGAGTAATGTAGAATTAATGCATGGAGAACCAAATAAATAGGGCAAATCATTTCATAGAGTTGTAAGCAATCATCTTCCAGATTAGTCAGTATTTGTAATACAAAGCCACTGTTTACCTCAGAACGCAATAATAACCGGAGGAAGATAAAGGCTAATGATAGACTTAGTAATAGTGCTAAGCAGTAAAGTCTAACTGATTATGAGCTGCACAGGAGAGCAAAACCTTCCATGTTAGGGGGGTGGGGGAGTATGAAACTGCCGATTTCACTCCTTGTCGAGTTCAAGAGATTTGGCACAGATTAGTCATAGTTCTACAGGTACATCGACGCTTAATGTTTACCTAAAACTTAGAAATCCTATGTTTCTTTGCATTTCATCTTTTTTCATTACTGTTATTTTCATCTTGTAAATTTCCCTCTTGTTGAATTATCCATCTATGTGCTGGTGTAAATTCTGACAATTTGTATGGACCCAGTTTTACTAGGCTCAGTTTCGTTTGTCTACTGTGTAGGCTAAAACAGTAGAAGTGTTTAATGCTGCCATTGGCTAGACTTCAGCTACCAAGTCTGTTTTTTTTCGTCAGTAACTAGTCAGTGTAGCCCTTAATTTTTCGGTATCTAGTTCATTAAGTTATCGATGAAGCCGTGCACTATATGGCGTCACTCTTAATCGTAGGCTTTATGTGTAATGAGTGCCATTCCCTGTTGTCGATCACCAAACATAGCCTCTACATTCCTTCTAAAGTAGCTTTTTTCAGAGTTTATGTGCTTAGCAGAATCTGGTATTAAACGTCTTCTGATTTATAAACACAGGACTGTAATTTTGTCTACTTTTAAATGAAGAACTAATGAGAACCATGGTATTTTCTTAGCCAAGCTAAGGAATGTACTTCAAAACAGGTTGTTTGACAAAAACCAACAGCATTTCGTAGCAGAATCTCTCCATATAAAGCGAAATCAAATTGTCTAAATAGGAATGAGGGAATCAAGCAGCTTTACATGGTTCCAGCTCACTCTGCATACTAAAATAACCAACGCATGAAATTAGAACGGTGATTAAATGTGCACAACCAAACCTCCATCTGCACTTCACCCTCATTGCACTTAATACGCTACATGTAGTCATCATCTTTCTCAACAACAACAACATAGATTCATCCATGCTGAAAAACTCAAATCAAGTTAACGTCTGTCATCATCATCGTCATCATCAAACAACGTAGAATCAGGCATTGCTGCGTGGCGGTCCAAGTTGCCACAGTTCATACCAACACATCAAGCAACAAAATAGTGAAGTAAAAACAAAGAAATAGAGGAGAGTTGGTCGAAAGCAGTAAAAAATAAGAAAGAAAAATTAGAAAACACTGAATTCAGTATGACGACTAAAATGATGAAATTGTGTGGATATATCTGCCCCACTGACATCGATTCTGGGCCATGTCACCTAGAGTCTTCAACCTGTAATTTCTGTTGTCACACCAACCCCAATCAGGAAGTTTACAATTCCCCACATGGTTCAGGCCAACAGTCAAAGACTTCAGTGGCGCAGATGTATACACACATTATCCTCATATTAACCACGCTGTACCGATTCTCACCATTTTGTCATTCTCCCTTTCTTTCTTCTCGTACGTTATATTTTTTTTTGACTGAATTCTCTTATCTTCATCTTTCACCTCACTACCTTTCTATTCGATGTACTGATGTGAGGTGTGGCAACTTGGACTGTTACGCAGTAATGCCTGGTCCTGTGTTGATATTGATGATGACGATGCATCTTGATTCTGTCTGTAAACTGGGAGTAGCTATAGACCGGTTGAGAGGCATTATCTTAAATTTGACAAGGGTCAGACGTATGCCAAACTCAGATCTCTGCTTAGCGCGTTCAGAAGACCATGCCCTTTTCACTGTACATCAAGTCAACCAGATGCCCTAGGGAGTTGGAGGTACCTAAAGTTATGCCCATCAGAACGTCTACAACAAAGTTAAACATAAGTAACAGTCGATATGTCTGTATCTACTTGAGTAGAGAGTTTTGATTGTTCCAACATGCATACTCGATACTTCTTTCAAAGCCAGACACTGCCACAACACCCCACGGTCGACAGCACTAGCACTAAATAACGAAGCGTCAGTTAAAAAAGCTTGTTTCGTTTTTCATTCATCCGAAGATGCAAATACCAGAATCATGAATATCAATGTTCCCCGCTGAGTCATGAATACAATTCAGGTAGTCTACAATTCTCTTTTATAAACAAATTAGCACATGGCGAACTGGATTCTGAAGTATTATCTACAGTTAAAAGATGTCAACATTTAGTCGTTATGGGAAAGTGGATTGATTAGTATACCAATTATTTTGATACTCTTTTGACAGAAGTCATCAAACTTGGTCAAAAGTTGCTGTGTGTAGATCGAAAAGTTTTTATTAGAATTTAATTCTTTTCATTTTTACTACAGTGGCACTGATTCAGCTTTCCACACGTCCTAACATCATCAAAAGAAAAATACTAATGAATAGATCAAAACATTTAAATGGGCTAAAAGAAGAATATAGATGAAATAAAGATGAGCAGATGTAGAAGAATATGGTTTCAGAATTCTAGAAAAGATGTAGAACAGATCCATTTCTTCTGTTGAAATCCATTTTGCCTTCGATAATCACAGTTTTTCACTATTTTCCGAACATAAGTCCCACACGACTCTAACGATTTCGTTAGAATTAATGAATTCTTATCGTCTAGTTTTACTAGACAATCAGAATTATCACTATTGAAGTAATAGTAGCAATGTTCACTCATATGCAAAGTCCTCAACTCCATGATGCATGTAGTATTTTCGATGAGCATATCCAGGAAAGTTTTGGCGTCTGCTTTCCTAATTGTATTGAGCGGTTACTTATCTGGTTAAGTTTTAAAAGTACTCGGATACATATATCATCAGTTAATGATTACTACTGTGTTGATACTATGGATATCACACATACTATACTCATTTTTTGGCACAGTGTTATTTTAAACGTAGTAGAAGGTTATTTGATGTTGCTTGCATTATCCCGTCATTGATTAGCCTAAATTGATCAATTTATATTGGCATATGGGCTCCTGCGCGGATGCCTCGATATTGCCTGTGTTTTAAATTTAGATAGGACAAAACACGCGTCTTGAATTCTACTGCTGGCCACTATTTATCATTAGTAGTATGAGGCTGTTTACAACATGGTATACGGGGTCGCTATGAGATTACGTGGTTATTTATTTCTCGTCTGAATATTTATTCAGAGACAGGTTTACTAAACAAGTCTACATGTTGTTTACTTAGTTTTAGCTTTCCGTGGCTGACTGACTTCATTTTCAAGTTTTATCCATACCACCTTTTGAATTTCTTCCTATTCATAATGCCGTGGACATTTCCTGTCGGGTGAGCTCAAGTGTTACGTTCAGTCACTAATTTTTTTGAAATTTTTCGAGAGGTTCACACAATATCTGTTTGCATGCTCATCTTTATAGCCTTTACCTTGCTTGCTGAATATTGTACTTCATTAATGCATAATACAATTGAACATGTAGAGAATAAGATTTACCTACGTGAAATAATTTGCTTACATCGATATGTAGTGATCGTTTTGCTTACTTTTTTAGATTCATCCTTGAAAACTTAATCCTGTGTTTCACGCGTATCATTTATTATCACTGTGCTTACATGTATTCGTCGCTGGTGTTAAGATTGACCATCTAGTAAATATTTTTGGGCAGCAATCATTTACATCCAACTAACCAATACTTTCGTTTAACTGTAATCCATTTCTATTCAGTGTTCTTACAACTAACAGATATTATTATTATTGTTGCTACTGCTATCAGTATGAGTGTCTGAAATACCCACAGTTTAACAGAGTGGTATTAATACTAGGTGATAATTGAAGGCGAAATGAAAATCTGAGCCGCTGCAGGATTCAAACCAACTGAGCTATAAAACCCTCCCGCAGACCTAGCTCTATATTTCACTTCAATCATCATTTATTATTATTATTATTATTATTATTATTATTATTATTATTATTATTAGTCCCTTTGGGTTCCTAATGGAACATAGGGCTTCAGTAGCACGTCTCCAGTGAACTCTGTTCTCTGAAATCTTTTGAACCTGGCTCCACGACAACCCAGAAGCTCTCATTTCCTCCTCACACGGTCTCCTCCATGTCACCCTCGGACATCCAACTCGTCGCTTCCCATGGGGGTTCCACTCGAGTGCCTGTCGCGTGATGTACCCAGTCGGCCTTCTCAGTGTATGCCCAATCCATCTCCACTTCCTTCTTATTTGTTCAGCGATAGGTTCTTGCTTCGTTGCCTGCCAGCCAGAGTGAGTTCCTTGTTGTTTACTCTTTCTGGCCATCTGAGCTTCAGTAACGAGCGTAGACGGCAGCTGTTGATGAATATCTGTAGTTTGTTGGAAATCCGTTTCGTAACGCGCCAAGTCTCTGAGCCATACAGAAGCACTGACTTGTTCACACTTTATACTGAGCGCGGAAGATCTCCACACTGGTTTCAGGTTAATGAACGCCTGTCTTGCTTTTCCGATCCTGGGTTTGACATCCTCATCAGTGCCGCCTGTAGTTGAAACAGTGCTGCCTAGGTAGGTGAAAGAGGCCATTTCCTTTAGGTTTCTCCCGTTGATGGTGATCGGAGCTTGTTGTTGTTGTTGGTGTGGTATCTTCATCACCTCTGTCTTCTCTATATTCACTTGAAGTCTCGTCTTCGCTGCCTCTTCTGTCAACTTGTTAGTTTTCGCCTGCAGACCATCAAGCTTGTGCGACATTAGACACAAGTCATCGGCGAAATCCAAATCGCCGAGGTTCTTTTCCGCAGTCCAGCGTATCGCCCTCTTCTCACAGCTCCCCACTGTTTGCTGCATGATCCAGTCGACCACTACCAGGAATATCATGGGGGATAGTAGGCAGCCTTGTCTTACTCCTGTCTTCACTTCAAAAGCATCACTGAGCTTCCCATTGTGAATTACTTGGCTGGCATGTGGCGTCTTCACATAGTTGTTGAATAAGGCTGATAAAGGTTTGCGGTATTCCGTAGTGTTGAAGCGGTTTCCAAATTACTTGTCGGTCAACGCTGTCAAAGGCCTTCTCAAAGTCGATAAAGTTGAGTGTAGAGTTGACTGCCATTCTATACTCTGTTCTATGATGATGCGTAGCGTGGCGTTGCAATTTGGTCCGCACATGATTTGTTCTTCTTGAAGCCTATCTGTTCCGTTTGTAGTTTTGAATCCAGCGCATTCTTTAGCCTCTCCAGGATGATGTGGCTTAATACTTTGCTTGCATTGGGTGGACAGGAGAGTGATTCCGAGCCAGTTCTTGCAAAGACTTATGTCTCCCTTCTCCAAGAGTTTGACAAGGAAACCTTTCTTCCAATCAATTGCCAGGTACCTCCCTTCCTTCCACACCTTCTGCAATGGTCGTGTGAGCATGTCCGCTGTTGTCTCTGACTCTGTTTCCAGTGCTTCTGGCGGGATCCCGTCTGGTCCTGCTGCTTTCCCACATTTCAGTAGCCTTATGGCGTTCGGAACTTCCATTTTTGTTGGAGGATTTGTGTTCACCTGTAGTTCAGCGGCCGTAGGTGGTATTTCTGGACGAAGTGCAGGTGGTGGTCGATTCAAGAGCTTCTTGAAGTGGTCGGCCTATCTGGGATGATGGTGATTCGGGCTTGTTGTTGTTGTTGGAGTTGTTGGTGTGGTATCTTCATCACCTCTGTCTTCTCTATATTCACTTGAAGTCTCGTCTTCGCTGCCTCTTCTGTCAACTTGTTAGTTTTCGCCTGCAGATCATCAAGCTTGTGCGACATTAGACACAAGTCATCGGCGAAATCCAATTATTCTAGGATCTTGTTATCGGTCTAGCCAGCGTATGTGCATCTTCGCTGATATATCCTCTGTTTGACATCTTCCAAAGCTTAAATGTTTGTACTAAGCGTTATGTTCAGATTGTCTCTTCTCTCACACAACGTTGTCTACTCTGATATCAGTCTTTTTCTTTGCACTCGTTCTTTGTATACTCCTGTGAAGTGTGGCAACTTGTGGGGATGGAGTTGTGTGCTTGGTTCTACGTTGATTTTGTCTGTCTGTCTTACATAAGGAAATCGAAGGATATAGACTTTGTTGAAAAGTTAAATCGACGACAAACGGTTTCTTGCACGATGGTGCATTAATCTGATTAGTCACAGTGCTCAATAGCACAAACAGAGGATCACCAGTTGATAATGGAAACAGTAGTGTTGAAATATATGTCCGTATAACCGTAGATTGATAGTTCCTTTTATTGTCATTAACCTTTTTTTATCACAATGTATAGGAATAATTATCTCCTATTCATTGTTGGTCATACTTGGCTGCTGAGAATGTTTGTGATGTGGTAAGCCGTCAAAAGTTACTTAGCGTTGTAAAGGATGCTAGAGTACTATAGAAGGTGATATCTTTCTCGGATATTAATGCTGATGGTGAACACCACTACAAAATAATCTGACTAATCGTAGTTTTCTTCAGCGTTAATTTCCAGTACACAGATTGAAATCCTAACTATTGAGAGTTCAGTTATACGTATCGTTATTCTGTATTCTAAAAAGTTATTTCCTTTCAAAAGAAAACTATTCAGTACAAGATATCATTGTAAATGTGTAACTCTTAAGATAATAATGGAAAGGAACATGTTAAGAATCTGTGATTCTTAGCATATCCATTCTCTTATCACTTACTAATAGCTTTGCGATGGTTGTAATACACTATTTTACCGCTCCGCCTTTATATTCTCCATATGTTTTGCAGTATGCGTATTGTTACCAACTTACTAGGCTATGACATGCATAAGTAAACCATTCACCCAACAAATTCTTATTTTTTAAAGGACAAATATATGGCGTTTTTGGCCGTAAAGTTAACGTTCTTTCTTATTAGGCAGCACAAGTTGTCTTTTTATCGCTGACGTTACAATGTCTAGAGTGTAAATAAATTTGGTTTTTATACCTTACACTTCCACAGTTTTTATCACCACCTACTTATTGTTATCATTGTTGAATCATTCAACCAGTTTTCTTTAGTTTGCACATGAATGGATTAACGAGATCCCCACTGTCCCTATCTACTATCTAGCGAAACCACAGCCAAGGGAACGGGCTTGGCAGAATTAGCGGGGAAAGAAGACCCTGTTGAACTCGACTGTAGTCCGACTTTGTGAGGAGACATGACGGATGTAGAATAGGTGAGAGTCAGGTGCCTCGGTGTCTGGCGTCAGTGAAATACCACTGCTGTCATTGTTTCTTTACTTATTCAGTGAAACGGGAACGAAATTGTATTTTGGTATGAAGCACATGCTGGCATACGTAGTTTAATTCTGCGTGTGTCGGTGTCATGGTCATGTCAGATTAGTCGTGGTGCAAATTGCGGTGTTTGAGTCTGGATGTGATGTGCGACCCGTTCTGAAGACCATGTCAGACGGGGAGTTTGACTGGGGCGGTACATCCGTCAAATGGTAACGCAGGTGTCCTATGGTGAGCTCAGCCAGGACAGAAACCTGGCGTAGAGTGAAAGGGCAAAAGCTTACTTGATTTTGATTTTCAGCACGAATACAGACCGTGAAAGCGTGGCCTATCGATCCTTTTGAATATCATTTTCAGAGTTTGAAGCAAGAGGTGTCAGAAAAGTTACCACAGGGATAACTGGCTTGTGGCGGCCAAGCGTTCATAGCGACGTCCAATGTCTCTGCAACTGATGTCAGTCCGTGATGAATACCAACCTGAAATGAATAAATTTCCAAAAACCTCCAAATTGAATTAGTCTAGTGTTCATTGGTAACTCGCTTCGAGAGGTGATTCCCGAAGTTCCAATGAGAAACCGTAACCGAAACCTAACATAAGAGCAGTTAGTCAATGATGGCATCGAATGAAGGTCGCGCTATATCGTGAACTGACAGAAGTAGGGGATGTAGATCAATGGATTGTGACCCAGTGGGTCGATGGCAGCGTGCAGGCCGCTGAACCTATAGGTCCTGAGTTCGATCTCTGTTGGGGTGAGGTCATGAGTACGCCATGCTAAGGAGTCCCATACTAAGATGAAACGGCTGTTCAGTGCTCCCAAGTTTCCAATGTTTCCCCCAACTGATGTCAGTGCATGATGAATATCACCTGAAGATGAATTCCATCGAAAATAAGACAAAATCACATTCTCTATAGGTGATGTTATTTTTCAGTCATAGGAATGCTGATCGATCTATGATGCTTGTTTAACAATGTATATTTATCAATGAATGGCTTTCTATGACAAAAAGAGCAGCAACAGTCTACGAATTTCTTTCTTCAAGAAAGGCAAGTAGAGTAGGTGCAGGCCTTTAAAACGAACAAAGTCGAACGATACCCCGAGTA